GGGAGAAGGTGAAGAGTGCGGAGCCGCTTACTACGTCCTCTATCACTTTAAAGCCTGAGACTCTCACCTTCTGTACCAACCTGGTGGTGCACTTGGTGGACATCATCGAAATCGATGGTCGAACATACGTACATACTATATAGATCAAGATGACATGGCAGCAAACCCTCACCTCTGCGATGGTAAGTGGGCGGTCACCAGCAGGTTACGGGACTCGGTCGTTCCGTGGCGCTTTTAGAGCTCGATCTAGAGCCCTACGGACAGTCGTACCAAAACTAGTATTATTTATGTAAAATGGGATTGCCGACAAGGACAAAGGAAACTGGACCGACCATTTCTGGCTTATTAGTCGCCATCAGTCAGCTTTAGGAGTTTCGAAAACCTGGAGTTAGGTATAGTTGGTTAATGACGACTAATAAGCCCGAAGTGGTCATTCTTGCCCCCCGTGCCTTTGTTGGCAATCTTATTCTAATCCTATATGTACCTGCAAGCACACGACTGGTTACACCTTGTCAACTGGGTCAGACTGCGGACCCCGCTTCTCTGACGGGAACATTACAGCTACCCTCGTTTGTCTTCGTCCTCCAATCGAGGCGTTTAGTGGGATATTAGGTACCCTGCTTCTGTAGCGACGTCCGTTATGAATAATTCGTCGACTCCATGCTGCAAATTCACTGCGAACGACCAGTCTCCACTGAAGTCAGTCGACGACGTACTCTAGATGCCAACTGGGCCAGTTGGTACGCCGCCTCTCGACATCATCGTCAGTCGGAGGTTGCATTCGCATGAGGTGACCCGGACGTCTTCGGGTTAAAGATTAATGGAGGGGGGATTTCTCGACCAACTGTTGAAGACACAATTTGTGAGCTGAGTTCATGATGTACAGTGTTAGCACGATGGTCCGAATGTGTGCAGGCTATGGACATATTCCGTTCGCGAGTCCTTCACTTTATTTTGACGGAGTCCTCGTACACTAACAGCTTGCTTTTTGGATTGATCTCATGGCGAACTTAAAGATTTTAGCGAAGTTCACATAAGTTGAGCAGGCATAGTTAGTATGGTGGCCAGTTTATTTCTTATATTGATTCCTTGAT